TCCATTAAAAAAAAAAAAAAAAAATCCTCACTGGAGGATATTTTCCCATTGATTTTTTTTTTTTTTTTAATAGAGAGTAAAAAGGGAAGGGGGTGGGGGACATCAATTAGAAAGAGTCACATCAATTGGCTGCTTCCCACACGTGCCCAGACTGGGGCAGAGGATCGAACCTGTAACCCAGGACATGCCCTTGACCGGAAATCGAACTCACAACCCTTCAGGCTGACGCTCTAACCACTGAGCCACAACAGCCAAGGCAATAACCTACAGTTTGAGAAGTCAACAGAGGAAGTGGGTGAGTAGCCCTGAAAAAGTTAAAGAGAGGGCTGTACACACCATAGGTGCTCAGGAGTGGCAGGGTGGGCTACCTGCACTGGCCACCTTAGGGGGTGAATGGGGGGCCCCCAGGTTTCTGGGCCACCTCAGGAACTCAGTCTGGGAGAAAATGTAATCCAAGAATGGCTTTTCCGTGGCTGTCTCAAGCTACTGATGCTTCAGTAAAAATAGGTTCGAAGACAAGGTAATACATCAACAGAATAGAGAAAAAATTGCCGAGCTAAGGAAACAGATTTAGAACCAAATGACACCAATACAGCACTAATAAATAAATCAGAGCAGGAAATAACAGACTAGACATGACTAAAATTGAATAAGGGACAGAATAAAGGTGTGAGATTATTTCACTGGATGCAGGGAAAAAAAATGGAAAAATATCATCTCAGGCTCTCAAAAGAAATGTGATAGATATGGAAGGCAAAGGTGATGAAACAAAGAATTCATTTCCCGAAATAGAAAATCCAATAAGTATAACAGAAAATATTCATAAACTCAAGTTTAAAAAAAATTCCCTTACTTGAAGGAAGAAATAAATTTGATCTCAATACAGTCCAAAGCCATGATGGAAATCAGAAGGTGATGGAACAGAATTGTCTAGAAAGATCTGAGGGAATAAGTGTAGCCCAAGAATAGCATACCTGGTTCATGGTCTTTTTCAAGTATAAATAAGGGCAGCAGGCAGAAATTCTCAAACACGATTGAGTTCAAAAATATAACAGCCTCTAGCCCTTGCAATAAAAACCACTTGACGAGAAATTCTGCCTGCTAGCACCTGTGGACAGAAAAGCCTAGTGGTGAGCACTGAACCTTCACCGTCACTGAAGGAATCAAGGGTATAGAATGGAAAACCCTGGTCGTCGTGGTTAGAGCGGCAGCCCGTGCACTGAAGGGTGTCAGGTTTGATTCCCAATCAAGGGCGTGTGCCTGCATTACAGGTTCAATCCCCACCCCCACCCCGTTGGGGTGGGTGCGGGTGGCAACCAATCAATGTGTCCCTCGAACCACCGTTTCTGTTTCTCTCTCTTTCTCTGCCCCTCCTGTCCTCCTTCCCTTCTACTCTCTCTAAAAATCAATGAAAAAAAATATCCTCGGGTGAGAATTAACAACAACAAAAAAATGTAAACTCTGACAAGGAAAAACAAAACAAAAACTTGGAATGAGGAAGGGAGATAACTGAAAATATATAAATTGGTCTCTATTCCCAATTCTTGGCTCCTAAAACCCCTGTAAATTCCTGAGTGATAAGAACACTGGGAGCATCTTTGGATCCTGATGGGGGCTGGTCACCAGGAAGCACAAGCCATGACTAGAAGCTTGGGATTTGCAGCTCCCCAGGTACCACCACCACCACTTCTCCAGAGAGGGGAGAGAGCCCTGGAAATAAAGTTAACTGATCAAGCCTACATGAGGAAAACTCCAATCCCAACAGTACAGGATTCGGAGAGCTTCCAGGTGGGCGAACACATCTACACCAGGAGGTGTCCCTGCCACTGCCGCAGGGACAGAAGCTCTGGCATCGGGATCCTCCAAGACCTCGTCCTATGCACCTTTTCATCTGTATCCTTGACCACTGTCCTTCACTTCAACAAAGGGGTAAATGTGTTTCCCTGAGTTCTGTGAGCCACTCTGGGGCGGGGGTGTGTGTGTGTGTCATTGGACCCTCCCATCTATAGCTAGTTGGTCAGAAGCACTTGTACCTGGGCTTGGGACTGTTGTCTGAAGTGAGAGAGAGAGAGAGAGAGAGAGAGAGAGAGAGAGAGAGTGTGTGTGTGTGTGTGTGTGTGTCAGGGGGTAGTCTTCTGAGACTGAGCCTTTAACCTGTGGGATATGATGCTATCTCCAGTTAGAAAGTGTCAGAACTGAGTTAAATTGTAGGACACCTAGCTGGTGTTGCAAAGAAGTGCTTGTTGTGAGGAAAACCTTCATACATTTGGTGACCATAAGTATCAGAGAGAAGTGTTCTATGTAAGTATGTAAAAGTAAAGGAGAAACACAGGAGAGAACTCTCTTTTTCCCAATACAAGGAGGTATGCAAAATTGAGTTTTTCCTAAACAAAAGGGATGGATAGAAATGTAAGTACTAATTGCCTCATCTCTCATAGCAGGAAGTCAATTTTTCTGTTAAATATATACAGAATTAAATACAGTGCTTTTTGTGTAAAAAAACAATAGCATGCAGGACACAGCCTTTCCATTTAGCTATTCACCCACCCATCTTTTTAACTAGGTGTGTGAAAAAAAAGGTGTCTAGAATAATGGCCACCAAACATTAACACTGATCATTTCTGACCACTGGGATATTGGGGAAATAGTTAATGGTGGTTAGAAATCTTTAGGAGGCATACATATTAATGATTTTGTATTCTTATTTTTTCTACTTTCCTATACAGTCTATATTTTGCAACGTGCCCACATATGTTGAAAAAATGGAGTGCCCTGGTCCTAAAGGACAAAAGAAGAATGAGACTGAGAAAAGACTGCCAGAGAGAACCACGCTATTTAAAGGTAAAAGATCAGGAACAGGAATCGGCGGAAAGAAAATGCAGACTGAGTAGTGGCCCTTCAAACTAACAAATGTTATTAGCATTTCACTAATAAATCCCATATATTTTTTTATTATTATTATTTTTTAATTCTCAGCTGAGGACATACTTAGAGAGAGGAAGGGAGAAAGAGAAACTGCAATGTGAGAGCTCCCCAACTGGGGATCAAACCCACAATGCAGGTATGTGCCCTGACCTGCAATCCCACGGGCAACCCTTTGGTGCACAGGACGACCCTCAACAAACTAAGCCACTACTGCCAGGCACTAATAGATCCCATTTAATGATGGCAACTCTCACCCTGGCTGGGTTTGCTCAGTGGTTAGAGCGTAAATCTGTAGACCCGAGTTTCGGGTTCAGTTCTGGTCAAGGGCATGTACCTTGGTTTCAATTCAGTCCCCGGCCCTGGTCAGGGTAGTGTGCTAGGCAACCAGTTGATGTGTCTCTCACTTTGACGTTTCTCTTTCTCCCACACTATCTGAAGATAAATGGGAAAATATCCTCGGGTGAGGATTTAAAAAATAAATAAATGACGGTACTTCCAAATTCATACCTCCATCCCCAACCTTTCCATATTCCATTACTTATTCAAAACCTCTACTTAATGTGTCCAAAACCAAAACCAAATTCTTAATCTTCCCCCCGCAAACATCTTCTTTCTTAGCCTTCCCCACTTCACTAAATTCAAGTCAAAAACTTAGAAGTCATCCTTCATCATCTTTTTCTCACACACCCACCCATCCCCTAATCCCAGCAATGTCATTGGCTATATTACTATCAAAACATAACCTCGACCCAGTCACTTCTCACCATCTCAACTACTGGCCTCATCTAACCATGTATTTCTAGACTAGATGACTACAGACTAGACTCTAACAGGTTCCCAGTTCTCACTCTTGCCCCTATGTCTGTTCTCCAAACAGCAGCCAGAGCAATCTTTTTAATTATTATTTTTTAATCCTCACATGAGGATACGTTTCCATTTATCTTCTTTATCTTCAGATAGAGTTGGGGGGGGGGGAGAAAGAGAGAAAGAGAGAGAGAGAGAGAGACAGACACCCAACCAGGCCAGGGACCAAACCACAACTAAAGTACGTGCCCTTGACTGGAATCAAACCCTCGACTCTTTGGTCCGCAGGCCGATGCTCTAACCACTGAACCAAACTGGCCAGGGCCAGAATGATCTTTTTAAAGCATATGTCACATTGCCCTGGCCAGTTTGGCTCAGCAATTAGAGCATCGACCCTCAGACCAAAGTCTCAGGTTTGATTCCAGTCAAGGGCATGCACTTCAGTTGCAGTTCAATCCCTGGTTTGGGTCGTGTGGGAGGCAACCGATCAATGTGCTCCCCCCCCCATTCTGTCTGAAGATAAATGGAAAAAATATCCTCGGGTGAGAATTTAAATAAAATAAAATAAAGCATACATCACATCACATCATTCCTTTGCTTAAAACTTTGTAATGGCTCCCATCTTATTCAGAATAAAACCCAGTCTCTACATGCCCTACAAATCCTACATGGACTCCTGCCTCAGGGCCTCTGGGCCTGCTCTTCCCTCCAGTCATAAGGTTCATTCCCTCACTTCATGCAGATCTCTGCTCCATTAATAACCTACTAAGAGAGGACTTCCCTGACCTTTCCATTAAAATCACATCCCCACATCTGTTTTCTGCTTTATTGAGAGCAAGATGTTTTCTTTGTTCATGGCTATATCCAAGAGCTTAGAGAAATATGTGACACAAAGCAGGTATTCACTATTAGTTAAATGAACGAATTAATCAAATAACTCAGTAATCTATTTTTCTCAAACACTGCAAATGTCTTTTTTTTTTACTTCTGATTATCAGACTACTCTATATATTACTATAATTCAGGCAAATATTATTTGCGCTTAGTAAGCAATACATGGAAGTTATGAGAAACTCTATAAAGCCCAGGAGTCCAGATTAGTTTCTGGTGAAGTCCCCATGTGTGTGTCTGCGGGACAGTGTGTGCTGGAGAGGGCGGGATAGCCACCAGAATCACTAACCCAGTCCCTGGTATGTAGAAGAGAGCCCTGGCTACCATACAGCAGTTACAACAGAATAAAACTTCAGAAAATAATGTTGGCTTAACTGTACCTGTCCCTGTTGGGTCACCTCCCTGGATCATGAAGTCTTTGATGATTCTGTGGAATTTGGTGCCATTGTAGTAACCTCGACGAGACAGCTCAGCAAAGTTCTTACAGGTCTTTGGAGCGTGCTTCCAGTACAGTTCCAGCACAATGATCCCCATGCTGCAGGAGGAAAATGGTAGAGTTCCAGTCAAGAACAACGTCACAGCCCTGGCCGGTTTGGCTCAGCGGTTAAGAGCGTCGGCCTGCGATCCAGAGAGACCGGGGTTTGGTTCCCCCTAAGGGCACGTACCTCGGTTGCAGTTTGCCCCCGGCCCTGGTTGGGTCATGCGGTGGCAACCACTCGATGTGTCCCTTTCACATCGATGTTTCTCTCTCTCTCTCTCTCTCTCTTCCTCCCACTCTCTCTGAACAAAAAAATGGAAAAATGTCCTCGAGTGCGGATTAAAAAAAAAAAAAAAAAGAACAAGATCACAGCACATAGGAATGATGTGGAACTGCTCCAGGACTCTTCATTTTCAAGCTTGTAAGTCGTGGAATTGGATAAACATCAAATTTCATGCTCAGCAAAGGAAAACAATACAAGGCAAATAACATCAACACAGTCATCTCTTCTGAGTAAACATGCAGGGTTTCTGATACTTCTTTTAAGTAACGTAACTGTGGACAACTAGAAATTGTAACATCATATATATATAAAAACACTGATCATCAGAAATTAATATAACCACCCTGCCAGTTTGGCTCAGCAGTTAGAGTGTCAGCCCACAGACCAGAGAGTCCCGGGTTTGGTTCCTGCTAAGGGCATGTACCTCAGTTGCAGTCTGTCCTCAGCCCTAGCTGGGGTCATGTGGGTGGCAGCCACTTGATGTGTCTCTCTCACATCGATGTTTCTCTCTCTCTCTCTCTTCCTCCCGCTCTATCTGATGATAAATGTAAAAATGTGCTTGGGTGAGGGAAAAAAAAGAAATTAATATACCCAACCCCTAAATTGGGGGCAGGGGGACTTTACACTTAATTTGTAAATTTTTTTAAAGAGATAATTAAAATATTAGGAATTCATTATTTATTTATACATGCATAAGTTTCTGGGTGAGGGGTGGAAACTAAGTGAATGGGAGATAGGAAGGTTTTCAATGAATATCTTTTTTAAACTATATATATATATATATATATATATATATATATATATTTTTTATCCTCACCCGAGGATATTTTTCCATTTTTTGTACAGATAGAGTGGGAGGGAGAGAGAGGAAGGGAGAGAGAGAGAGAAACATCGACGTGAAGGGACACATCGAGTGGCTGCCACCCGCACGACCAACCAGGGCCGGGGACAAACTGCAACCGAAGTATGTGCCCTTAGCAGGAACCGAACCCGGGTCTCTCTAGACCGCAGGCCGACGCTCTAACCGCTGAGCCAAACTGGCCAGGGCTAAACTATATATTTTTGAACCATGTAAATATATACCTATTAACAAAAAATTTTAATGGAAAATAAGGTACAGCTTGTGTGTATTTAGAAAGGGCTGCAACAAAGGCAAAACGTGATTATTTCAAGTCTTTACACCTATCCAATGTGATGAACTGAAGTACTGCTAAGGAAAAGGAAGAAGGAAAAGACGTAGGCCAGGGGCCTTCCCCTCTCCATCACTCACCTAGACTTGAAACTCCAAGAATGTGAGAAATGAGTCAATTCTGGATGGCCTGAATACCCAGGGCCAAGCACAGTGTAAGTAAGCACTCTGTAAATGCTGTAGATAGGTTCTTGGAAACTGTGACGTTTAGCACAAGAATATATAAAGAACCAATTTTACCACAGGCTAACTGATACAAACAAGAGTTAAGTTCCTGTGGCATACTTCTAATCATAAAAACATCACCAAACTTCTAAATAAAGACCCAAACACTTCTAATCTTTTACATTGAAATAAATGTGAGCTATGCATACACTTAAGAAAGACTAACAAAAAGACTAATAAAAACAAGTTAAGATAATTATTTTCCAACCTGCTTATTCCAGGTCAGGATCTGGGGTGGCTGGAGCCTTATCCCAGAATCTCAGGGCAAAAGGCGGGAACCAAATCTGGACACCCTTCCTCAGAGCACACTCACACACATGCCCACACTCAGACTGGGACAATGTAGACATGCTAATTCACCTAGCGTGCACATCTTTGGGATGTGGGAGGAATTTGGACTACCTGGAAAAAAACAGTGCAGACATGGGGAGAACATGGAAACTCCAGAGACAGTGGCCTTCTAAGGGAAGGACATTAAAACAAAACTTTATTCGAGGACCTGCTGTAAACGTGGTATGTGCCAGAACACAGCTTTCTACTGGCAACTCATCTTTCACACTGCTATTATTCAACACAGATTAATAATTACTCTGTGCAAGGCACAGTTCTAGGTGCTTTTCTCTTCATGAAGCTTACATTCTGGTGGATTTTTTTTTTAAATACAGGTAATAACTTTAGAATGGCAATTAGAAAGTACCTATACAATTTTGAAATGGGCATACTTTTTTACAGCAATTTCAACTTCTAAGTATCCAGTCTATGGAAAAATGTACTTAAGTGCTTAAGAATACAATATGTACTAGGATATTCATTCCATTATTTGTCATAACTAAAAACAAGAAGCAATTTGGATGCCCTTCATAGAGGGAATGACTAAAATATGAGACATCCATACTGTGAAAGGCTGCATACATTAGTGAAAGAAAGGTAAATTACAGGAAAAAACATAAATACAATATGATCATATGATCTTATTTTTGTTAAAGGATAGAACATAAAAGAGATGTTTATGTGTACATAGAAAAAGGTCTGAAAGATCATTCAACAAACTACTAAAAGTCTTTTTTACAGGAGGGGTGGCTTTCACTGCTTATTCTATACACTTCTACACTGCTTGAACTTAAATTTCGATTTACTTTGTAGTTTTTAAAAAGTGTTAACAGGTGAGTTCAGAAATTACTTTCAAGTTGGTGCCTGAAGCAGAATTTTGCCAAATAAGATAGGGAAAATGGCCTGGGAGCAAAAGCAGCATCAGAGAGAACTGTGCTCTGGTGGAAAGCAGCACAGGCAGGAACAGAAAGAAGGCAGAGAGATGGTAGATGGTGGCTGGACCCTGGCTACCGGTGGGGCAATGGCAGATGTAGCCAGAGAGGTAGAAAAAGTCCAGATGAAAAAAATCACCTTGAATGTCAGACTACAAAGTTTTAATTTTATAGTGTTGTAGCAGTAAGAAATCTTTTGCAGTGCCTCTCAACCTTCCTAACGCCGCAACCCTTTTAATACAGTTCCTCATGTCGTATGTCGGCGGACCCGCCTGGAGACATAGAGGAGCCGTGTCTCGGAAAATATGTTTTCCGATGGTCTTAGGCGACCCCTGTGAAAGGGTCCTTCGACTCCCAAAGGGGTCGCGACCCCCAGTTGAGGACCGCTGAGTCTTACGGAAATGTGTCCTATTTTGGAAAGATCACTCTGAACTTTTTCCAAAGTGGCAATGGAATGAATGAGGCCAAGGAACCTAGCAGGTGAGGCTGGCATACCAGGCTCTAAAGGAGGTTCCCATACTTACTTAGCTGTGTGGCTTTGGTCAAGCCATTTAATCTGTAAGTTCTGGCATTTCCCTGCTAAAATTGGAGGAGAGAAGGTGCAATAATACCTACATGGTTTGAGTTGCTAGGAGGATTAAACTAAATGTAATGCTTTGCACCTGGGGCACAGCACTAGCTGGTTGGCGCTCAATGTGATTACATTTGATAGGAGGGGAAACGTGTTTCTTCTTGTGTTCTCCTAACAATTGTAGAGCTTACGACGTTACAACTGTACTACTTATCCCGTTAATATTTACATAGCTGTCTCCTCCAGTATACTGTGAAGTCCTAAATGCACGGCTGTGTTTCGTCCATCCCTGTATCTTCAGACGCCAGATCCTACGTCCTTGGCTTGAATGAATGGATGAATGAACGGGGGGGGACAACCAGGCAGCCATCGCTAAGGTCTCAGCGAGGCGGTGCGGAGCTCGGACGCCCGCGGCGACGGGGCACGCTCAGCCTCACGGCCGCCGCTCCACGAGAGCCCGCCGGGAGCCCAGCCCGCCGGGAACCCAGCTCGGGCTCCGTGTCGCCTCGGCCAGCCCGCCCCAGAGGCACGACCCCCTCACCTGGTCTCCAAGTATACGTTGGGCGGCTGCCAGGAGTCCGGGGGGATGGCCGCCATAGCGAAGCCGGCGGACTTTCTCCAGCAATTGCTACTTCCGGCGTCGATTCGCTGGGGACCCGCCGGCGCAGCGCACACTTCCGGCACCGCGGTTCAACCCTTGCGAAGCCAAGATTTAGGGAGCTGAGAAAAAGAAGAGGAAGGATCCCACCTCCAAGGCCGGAAAGCTGGGGTGCGAGGCGAAAACAGTCTGGTCTCAAGGGCAGAAGAAAGTGCATGCACCTTTGGCGGGGGTTCCCAGGGGAGCTACCGCGCCACTCCACGGACGCTCTGATTGGCTCGTTTAGGCGTGGGAGGCGGGAACAACCAACAAATAAGCACTGCGGTTGGAGTTTTGGTCTAACTTTCAATCCCAAGAATTTCCTAGTCCCACAGAAAAACTGGGACCGGAAGGAGAGGAACGGAATGAAAGGGTATAGTCCGGCAGGTGTGGCTCAGTGGTTGAGAGTCCAGCCAGGCACCGAGAGGTCTCCGGTTTGATTCCTGGTCAGGGCACATGCCCAGGTTGTGGGCCCGATCCCCAGTGGGGGGCATGCAGGAGGTGGCCAATGATGTTATCTCTCATGGATATTTCTCTTGCTGGCTCTCCCTCTCATTTTCTCTCTCTGTAAAATCAATAAAGGGGAAAAATAAGTAAATTAAAAAAAAAAAAAAAAGGCGTATAGAGGTGAGAGTTGCCAGCAACTAGCTTTGATAAGGCTCTGTACAATTAACATAGCACTCACACTTTATTATTGTTATTCTCATTTTTCAGATGTGAAAACTGAGACTCAGCAGTTCGCTGACTTGTTTGTCCATAGGCATTACATCAGATCCAAGCCTCCAAACTCCTAAGGCCGAGAATCTGGGGGGAAAGGGAAGGGCCTGGAAGAAAATGAGAGATAAGGAAAGGAGAGACAGTGGAATGAAGATCAAAGGGATGAGGGTTAGAACAAGGCCTAGAGTGACCTGCAGGGACAGATGGTGCCCCAAGGTTGTTAGGGGGGGTTGTTCAGGAACAAAGGTGGAGAAGCAAAGTAGAGGCACTGCGAGGAAGTTTGGATGGAGGACAAGAAAGAAATGGGGGGAATAAACTTATATAGCAAATGCTATGCACACTACTTAATGATGATGGCTAAAGGAATGCTTATTTTGTGCCAGCATGGAGCTAAGCACTATTGTGTACTTTCACATTGTTAAACTCAAACACAAATGAAGACCAGACTTGAAAATTCCCTGAGCAGACAAAACAGTTTAGTCACACAAGCAAAACATAGGCCAGTTCTTGTTAATGCCTGTGAAAATTATAAACAGAACTTAAACTGTTCCCCAGATGTGATCTAACCACTTTTAACCCATTTTCTATCAGTAGGAAAATTCTAATTTTATAACCAGTCACTGTGAAGAATAAACAGCCATTATCTCCTCACTATGTAAGCAGCTTTATAACAACGTATCTCTGAGCCTCATCCCATGTTCGGTTTGAGTGCTCCCAGTTTGCAAACTGGGTGTTTTTTGTGCACAGTAAATTTTTGCTAATTATTATTCCAGTGATTCAGTGGCTTTTTTCTCATTATTTCTGAACTTTTGACAACACTTAATCTTCAAAACCCCATGAGGTACATATTGTTACTCTTTTTTATGTTGAGGAAACAGATTAATAACTTGCTCAAAGTACCAAAGCTTTGAGCCTCTGCTCTTAACTACAGTGCAATCCTAGTTTCCTTCATTGTCAACAGGGAATGTAAATATCAGGTTGTAAATATCAAACTAGACAGCGAGCTCTGTGAGTGAGACCTGGGCCTCCTGCATCTCTGTGCCTTACAGAGTACTGAGCATAGAGTGCTCAGGTTTTGCTGAATTAATGATGGACATAACACAATGTCTTAGTCCTGGCTCCTGTGGCCCAGTTGGTTGGGTATCTGTCTCAAGCACCAAAAGGTGGCTGGTTTGATTCCCAGCCATGGCACCTGTTGGGGTTGTGGGCTGGATCCCCAGTAGGGGGCATGCATGAGGCAGCCCATCAATGATTCACTCTCATGTGATGTTTTTCTCTTCCTCTCTCTCTGAAAAAAATCAATAAGAATACTAAAATGAAACAAAACAAAAACCAATGTTTTAAACTGATGAATGCTGTGCTAATGTAAGATATAATTAATTTACATTTCCCATGGTGTTGTGTTCATGCCCTCTTTGTGTTCCTTGAGCTGGAAGGAAAGTCTTTATTATTGGTCCATTCTGTCTGTCGTTACGAGTTGCTTTTTTCTGGACCCTTTGTAGTCTCTTACTATGTATTTTGGGAGGCTTAGAGCACAGTGAGGATGCTTCGGGAGTTTACATAAGAATAAGACAGTGTTCTGCTGTCTCATTCCAAAATATTTCCTCAGGAGGCTCAAGAGAACAATGGGTGTCAGTGACTTCAGGAAGGAGTTGACAAAGAAGCCTGGATTTGTTTTCTGCATTATAACTAATAGTTCACATTAAATTAGTCAGAATAGTTCACACTAAATTAGAGAACTATTAAATTTAATAGTTCACATTAAATTTACTTCATTGATTCTTTAAGCTTACTGAATCTTCTGAATAAATGTCCTTTAATTTAAAAAAATACATAAATTTTTACAGAAGCATCATTTTTCAGGCTGGAAACCTAATAATCATCCTTTCTGATTTCTCTAAGGGTCACATCATCAAGACCTGTCAATTCTTTTTCCAAAGCAGAGGCTCAAAGCTTTGGTACTTTGAGCAAGTTATTAATCTGTTTCCTCAACATAAAAAAGAATAACAATATGTACCTCATGGGGTTTTGAAGATTAAGTGTTGTCAAAAGTTCAGAAATAATGGGGAAAAAAACCCCTGAATCACTGAAATAATAATTAGCAAAAATTTACTGTGCACAAAAAACACCCAGTTTGCAAACTGGGAGCACTCCAAAGATCCCCAAATTATATCCCCTCCTTCCCACTCCCACTTCTGTTTCAGACCTTCAAAACCAGGATTATTTCAGAAGCCCCCTAGCTGGGTTCCCTGCCGCTGGATTTCCCCCCACTAATCCAACCTACACACACACACAGCAGCCAAAGCCTTCCTCCGAAATGTCTTGTATTATGTCACTTTGCCATGAAATGTAAAGTAGTTTCCCTCTGCCTGTTACAGTCCCATACCTCTTGGCCTGGGATTGAAGGCCCTTCATTGGCCCCCTCACTGACTTCTCCAGCCTGATTTCCTCCTGTTTTATCCATGATTTAAATGTGCCACCAACATTCCCACTCCCAGGCTTTGCCCAGGCTGTTCTCTTTCCTTGCAATGCTTCCCAAACCTCGCCCATGCCTTTGTCCCAGCTCCTTCAGAAAACCTCTCTCCTCTTTCTGTCTACAGTAGACTCTTTCTCCTTCTCTCTTCTTGGTCTTTAATTCTGTGCTGCTTTCCATTGTTGTCTAACTGCTTGTGTTAGATTCTCTTCTCTCCAAGTAGAATTTAAGAGCCTGTGTTCGGGCCCATGTCTTGGTTCACTTCAGTTCTGCACTCACACAGGCCCCGTTCCACACCAGGACCTGAACAGGAATCTCAGTTGCTGAGCATAGCTATGGCACCAACCCACAAACAAGCAGTTCTGTTACACAGGGTGCTGTTACTTGGGGACCTTGTCAAATGTTTTTCCAAATCTCAACAGAGAGAAGCCAACACTAAAGAAATGAAATTTAGCCCTGGCCAGTTTGGCTCAGCGGTTAGAGCGGCGGCCTGCGGTTCGGAGAGACCAGGGTTCGGTTCCCGCCAAGGGCGCATACCTCGGTTGCAGTTTGTCCCCGGCCCTGGTTGGGTCGTGCGGGTGGCAGCCACTCGATGTGTCCCTTTCACGTTGATGTTTCTCTCTCTCTCTCTTCCTCTCTCTCCCTCCCACCATGTCTGAACAAAAAATGGAAAAATGTCCTCAGGTGAGGATAAAAAAAAATGAAATTTACCCATCATTTCCTTCCTTATTCTCTTCCCCAAACCAGCTTCTCCTCTCATATCTTTGACTCCTCACACTCCCTCAGCAACATCCTCCCACACATTACAGGTTACCAACCACTGTCACGCTCATGATCTTCTCTCCGTCTACACTGACCAGGTTTTGCAGTGGAAAGCTGCGAGTGGCTAACAGAAGGAAGCAACCAGCTTCCGAGCCCCCCAGGATTTATTGTGTCCTGGAACCCGAACCTTCCCCTGCTGTCTTCTCCTGAGCCTTTTCTACTACCAGCAGCCTTTCTGATCTGTTTTACCTGGGAAATGTTTCTTAAGTGGATTCTCATTCTCACATTCCCTTTACCTAGACCATCAAAGTTGTTTTTCCCTTGAACTTTCCAAAGTTAATTTTCCCTTTTCTGATCTTAGCCTTCATCCTCCACTGGAGGTATGTGTCCATAGCAGAGCTCTGATCATGTCATACTCCTGCTCAAAACCTTCAGTGGCTTCCCACTGCCCACAGGGTCAAGTCCTAGCATCCAAGGCCTTCCTGGCTATGCCAAAGTGATCTTTAAAGATTGTTTTTTTCTTCTATAAGTAGTCTTGGCCTCAGCCAGATTGACATTCCAGGCTTCCAGGATGTGCTGGTTGCCTTGGCCGGTTTTGCTCAGCGGTTAGAGCGTCAGCCTGCGGTCCAGACAGAATGTGCTGGTCTTCCCTTCTTCTGAACCTTCTCACTCCTATACCTTGTGCCTGAAATGTTCATTCTCAGGTTCCAATGTCCGAATCCTCAAAGGCCATCTCCAAGCTCACTTTCCCCCTAAATTTTTTCCTGGCACATCTACCAGCCACTAGGCACTAAGGAAGTTAGAGATGGGTCACATGCACTGTGCCCAGCCCAAAGGAACTCAGTTTCTAGGAGAGGCAGACAGTGAAACAAACACACAGCTACAGGATAGTGAAGCGGGGGCTGTAATAAGGACGTGCACGTGCTTCCTGAGCCCTGGCCGTTCCAGGGCTGGCTTGGGGGAGTCAGAGGTTTCTCTGGGAGTGATAACCTGAGCTGAGATCTGGACAATGCTGAAGCCAGGAGAGGTTTCTTAGAAGATCTGGAGCATGATAAAGAGCTTGGGAAGTCAGAGATTGTTTCTCAGGCTATCCTGGAGCTGCGTGGGATCTTGGAACTTGATTCTGAGGGCAATAGGGACCCATGAAATGACAAAATCATATTTGTACACTGGAAGTGTCACTCAGGCTGTGGTATGGAGAGTGACAGGAAGGGCCAGATTTTTAGGACATCTGGACTCCCAGAGCACTTTTTTTTTTTTTAATCCTCACCTGAGGATATATTTTTTATTTATTTTCTGGTAGAGTGGGAGGGAGAAAGAAGGAGAGAAAGAGAGAGAAACATCGATGTGAGAGGGTCACATCGACCGGCTGCCTCCTGCATGATCCTGACCAGGGCTGGGGACAAACCGCAACCAAGGTACGTGCCCCTGACCCGAATCGAACCCTCGAACCCGCGACTCTTTGAGATGCTTTACCGGTGAGCCAAACCGGCCAGGGCCCAGAGCACATTTTTTTAAAGTAAAAATTTTAATTTAAGTATGATATACATCCAGAAAAGTGGACAGATACTGAGACAGTTCAATTAATTATTACAGAATAAACCCACCTGTGTAACCTCCGTGAAATTAAAAAAAAAAATGTTTCCAGCTCCACAGAAGCAACCCCATCAGTCAGTAGCCCTCCCCATCCCCCAAAGGTAACTAGCCACTTCTCATGTATGTAACCTCAGCAAGCTAACCTTTCCATAAACCTCAGCTTGGTCGGTATGAGGACAAATACGGGGCTACTTATGTTATAGGGTTGTTGAGGCGGTTTCACGACTATAAAGTGCTTAGTAATGTCTGGCACAGAGTAAACTCAAAAAATATTGAGGCTTGGCGAGTGTGGTTCGGTTGGTTGGAGCATGTCCCAAACACCCGACGGTGGGGGTTCAATTCCCGGTCAGGGCATATGCCCGGGTTGCGGGTTCGATCCCCCGTTAGGTTGCTTGCGAGAGGCAACCGGTTGATGTTTCTCTCTCACATCAATATTTCTCTCTCTCTCTCTCTCTCAATTTTTTAAAAATTGAGTGGGATGTGTGTAAATGAATTCCGTTTGCTGGTCTTTCCTCTTTCAGACAAGGAGCTCCGAGATGAGGGCCTGCCCTCCGTATTGCTCCCACACCCAGCCCTAATGCCTGTCCCGCTCCCTGGTGTGCAGTGGGGGCTCCGGGAGCGCTCGTTGAATGAATCCGCTCAGGTACGCAGGCTGCGTTAGCGCAGGGGAGGTGCTAGCGCACCGTGACCAAGGCCGAGGAGCACTGAGGGAGAACTGAACACCAGGGGGAGCAAGAACCCGTGCTCTCCAGATCTCGCGAGAGGACCCGCGTGCACGCTGACGTCGCGCGTTCTGTGTTTGGCGAAGCGCGGCCGGGGAGAAGCAGCTACTCTAGGGCGTGCGGCCTCGCCTGTAGCGTGGGAGTCGCTTCCGGGTTACGCGCCCGGAAGCAGGAAGTTATCGGCTTCTTTTTCTCGCCCGGCGGCTGCTGTCCCCGAGGCGGGAGGAGCCCAGGGGGCGCGGGCCCCGCATGTGAGTGACTGGGGCCCGAGGCCGGGAGGGGGAGATCGCTCCGTGACAGTGTCGCCGCCGCGCCCGTCTGTGACATCCTCGCGCAGCCCCTCCCCTGCCGCTCCAGTCCTGTGTAGCCCCTTCGCTGACCTCTTTTCTGAGCCTCTGCAGTTTTGCAGACTGACAGCAACCCCCCCGCAACTCCCCCGGGGTCGACTCCCTTAAGATCTCTCCCCCGCTTTCCTCGGTTGTCCCGGGGAGAGCAACGCGAGGTCGACCCTGCTTGAGCTTGTGTCCCAGGCATCACAGCAGTGCCCAAAACATGAGAGGTGCCAGCGAAGTTTAGGTGTCACTGCCCTTGGACAGATATTTTTGTATATTGACATTAGGTTCTCAAAGCCTCTACGAAACATTTTTCTAGTTGTTAAAAGGGGATTTGTTTTTTAATGTGGACTTGGTGTGTGATAATCATGGTATCTCGGATTTCAGAAAGGAATGTGATTTGGTTCATTGACCTGAATAAATAAGCTATTTGTAGTCGTCTTTTAGTGCAGAGAAATTCGCCTTTTTCGTGTTCCATAGTATTTGAAGGCCAGTAACCATACAAGCTACACTTTCTGGCCTAAGAGCCCACATAGCCTTGGTATTCACGAATATATTTCTTTTGTGATCACTTTATGATAGAGACTACTCTGAGATATTATGACTTTATCTGGTTGCTCATTTGGTTGTTCCCATGGTGGAATCTTATGTGAACATCTCTCCCATAATAAATTTGTGTGAGTTTGAGTTATCACAATTTCCCTCTAAGTAACAACATGCCTTAACCTAAATTCAACTTTGAAATTTTGAGGGCTCTAATATAAAATATAAAATAATATTTTCCCTCCCATCTTCTAAGTTCTGGTTGAGCTAATAATCAGATTAACAGGAGAAAATACAAATTTTCATGGGTATGTACAGGGGATTCACATAAGCGTGAAATTCCCAAAGACAGGCAACATTGGTGCATTTGTCATTTTGGACAAAGGAGAAGTGGGGGGTGGAATCTTAGATTTCAGAAGTGAGAATGAGTGATTTGCAGGTAATTGAAGAAGAGTGCAACATAGATGGCGGGTAAATTTTTGCTAGGCAACCCAGAAACAATGGAGTCTTCCTGAAGCAAGTTTTTCCATCTGAATCTCTTAGGGCAAGAAAGCCAGGAAGAATCAAAGGTATTTTGAGTCTTTTCTTGATAACCAACTTAAAATTAATATCCCAAAAGGCATCTTTAGGATGGCAAAACTTGGTCTCCTAAACTACATGAAGTTCACATAGCCCAGCTTGAATACCAGAGAGAGGCCATTTTTGTCCTGTTAGGCCAGGACAAAAATGCTTTGGGCCTAAATAATTTTCAGGACCCAGTTTGAGCCCCTATTCCTCCACAGCTGCTTTACAACACCATAGAAAATGTTCAAGTATAAGGTTCCTGACCTGCTCACGTAAACCATTGGGCTAATGTATTTTTTTAAGTAGAACAATGAAAAGTAAAATAAAGAGCCCTGGCTGGTTTGGCTTAGCAATTAGGGCTTTGGCTTGTGGACCAAAGGGTCAAGGGTTCGATTCCTAGTCAAGGGCAGGTACCTGGGTTGCAGGTTCGATCTCTGGCCTGGCCAAGATCATGCAGGATGCAACCAATCTATGTGTCTCTCTCATGTTGATGTTTCTACCCCCACCTTCTCCACTCTATCTAAAAAAAAATTAATGGAAATAATATCCTCTGGTGAGGATGAGCAACAACAACAAAAAAAAGTAAAATGAAAAGACCATTAATTACACTGAATTAGTTTGGGAACAGAATAATCACTTTAGGTCATGGAACTCTGATCAAGTTCCATGTCTCTTAGGTGAATTTGCATGTCTGTTAGTTTCTTGTGTTGTTGTTTCTATTTCTGCTTTCAAGAAACAATTTAGTATGAGAGGGAGGTAATAGATACAATACAAAGTGATAGAGTTATGTTTAAGGTTCAAAGTTCAAAAGGTTTAAAAATCAGGTTTGGAAGAGAGTTCAGTCATTGGACAAAGCACTGGAGGCTAGGCTTTGTAGGCAGAGGAAATTATGTGTATAGAAGCAAAAAAATATCCATGGGAGAGATGTTTGGGGCCTTAACTGCCATTAGTACAGAACTAAAGAAGAGATGAATGTGAAAACTGCAGGAGATAGAATTGAGGATTTAGTGACTGGTCCATTGGTGGGGATGAGGAAGGTGGAGAAGTTATAAATTTGGAGAACTGGTGTTTCCATTAATTAAGAAAAGGAATGTAGCAGGAGAAGTCAGTTGCAGGAGGAAAATACTAAGTCAAGTTAATGGACACATTACATACAAGGGACTATAGGAAATTTGGGGTTTGAGTTTGGGAGAGAGTTCTAGACTGGAGAAGAGATTTGGGACTCAATAATAGCTAGTTTTTAAAGTCATGGAGGGACAAAGGGAAAGGGGACAGGAGGAGGGTGGGAGTGGGGAGGAGGGGATCAATAGGGGAAAAAGGAGGGACATCTGTAATACATTCAACAATAAAGATAAGTTAGAAAAAATAAAGCCTTGGAGGGAATGAGAAGGTCAAGGACAACTGTGATGAATGCTGACATTCAGGGACATAGACTCTGGGAATAGAACAGGAGAATTATGCCAGGGTTTGGGAGCACTCGATGGAGAGATAACGGGTAGCCATGGCAGCTGCTGCGGAGAGGTCAGGTAAGTTGATAACTGAAAAAACGTCCTTTGGACTTGGCATGTAGAGAGCCATTGATGACCTTAGTGAAAGCAATATCAGTGATGTGAGGGGGACAGAAATATGATTTCAACAGGTTAATAAATGAATGGAGATCTGAGAAATAGGAAGATGAGGTAATGCTCTCTTTTTTTGAGGGGCTTGGCTCCAGAAGGAGGGAAAATGCATGCACTGGAAATCTAGAGAGGAAGGATTATTATTTTTTAAATAGTAGAAACTGGAAAAAGTGATAGAAGCAGGTAGAGATAAATTTAAAGCTCCTGCTTTAAATAGGTCAATGTCATAAAAGAAAAAGAAGCCAGAATCTGTTCTAGGTTTAAGTAGACCAAAGGGACACAGCAGCTAACTGATATGTGACACATTGGTTGGCTCCTAGATTTCTAGAAAGCAATATGGCCTTTTTGAAAGAAATTTGACTATGGACTGGATATTAGGTAACATTAGAGAATTATTAATTTTAACAGGTATGATAATGATGCCTAACGTTTTATATAATAATGTCCTTACTCTTCGGAGATGCGTGCTGAAACATTTAGAAATGATTTTGTGATGTGTTGCAACTAACTTTTAAATGGTTCTGGTAAAAACAGAGACATACAGAAAGCAAATATGGTGAAGTGTTAATGGTGAATCTAAGGATATATAGATATTCGTTGTACTATTTCAGTTTTTCTGGAGGGTTGAAATGTTCAACATAAAAAATTGGGAGAATAATGTAAGAGGCATATTTTCAGAGAGTGGAGAAAGTACTACACTCTTCAAATCTTATTGGGCAGAGATGACCAGAAAGGGACCATTAGATTCAAGTGATGATAAGAGTGAGAAAAAGAAGAATTCTCTCAATTGTAAATTTTAAATACTTATTGTAATTTTTAATTGCTACTCTTTTAAGTTATGTTTTATCAATTATTTTTTCTTTAATATGTGTGTTATTTCTTAGTGGTTTGTATTACCATCCAAAGACCACATTTTTTCCCCCTGTAGTAGAATGTATCTCCAATTAATGGGAATCATTGGGCAAAATAGAATGGATTATATTGGACAAAATAAAATGGATTAGCATACTAATAGCTAGCATAATACTAAAGAATTTAGTAGGGGAACAACAAAATTTAGTATTACTCTGGATATTGTTCCCATTGTTGAAGATTGTGACATATTTAGATGGGCTTTTGAAACTTTATTTCTCAACTATAGTGTTTCCCCTTTTGTGTTTTAACTAGTATTGCCTCTTAGAGTTGCCTAGCTGGCACATCTGTTTAGTTTGACAAGCTGAGAACCTCCGGGATGATATCACATCAGTATTTAGGACACCTTTATATCACTAGAGGAATTAAACAGGGCAAAGGAGAGGTTTGCATTTAATCTGACTTCTTAATCTGTTTTCTGCTTTAAACAAACATTTTTATTGCTAAGTTCCATCAGAGTCATTCTGTTATGCCTCTGTGCTGTTTTTCCTAGACTGAGACCCAGAAGGAATGGTGGAGAACCTTACATCAGAGCTGTCAGTTTCTTCCCCCTGTTCTTGAAGCATTCCTTCAGAAGGGACAGCCCCCTGGCTTCCCTCCTCCAGGCCTCTGTTGAAAGGAGGATTGTGCATCCTCAACACTCTTAACATTTTGAGTAGGACAGTTCCTTGTTGTAGAGTCTGTCCTGTGCATTGTAGGATGTCTAGCCTTTGCCCACTAGATGCCAGAAGTACCCCCTCAGTTTTGACAATGAAAAATATCCTCAGACATCACAAAAATGTAGCCTGGGGAATGGAATCACCCCAGGCTGAGAACTGTTCTACAGCAGTGTCTCGTAATTGGGAGTGTGCCTCTGGTCAGCAGGGAAGAGGTTTGAAAACTTCTAGGGTCCCTCTCCCAGAAGTTCTGACAATTCAGCATATCCGGGGTGGTGCATGTGTGATCCTTTGATTTTTGTGATGCTGCCAGTGACCCTGCCTGTGCCCTTGCAGGTATAAGGCACTGGTAAGAGTCAAACTCACTCATCGGAACTTCCATCTGTGGCAAAGCTCATTTCTGCCAGAGTTGGACCTTTCTGGAGGCAAAGGAATTGTCATCAAGCCTCAGTTGATTTCATTCAGTCCCCTCAGACTTGATGCTTAGCCATGACTTTGTGTTTGATTTTTTTAAATATGTTTGTTGTTGTTGTTAATCCTTACCTGAGGATATCTTTCCCATTGATTTTTAGAGAGAGTGAGGGTGGAGGGAGAGAGCCATAGATGTGAGAGAGACACATCAATTGGTTGCCTCCCACATATGCCCCAACCAGGGCTAGGGATCAAACCTGCAACCCAGGTACAGGCCCTTGACTGGGACTCAAACCCACCACCCTTCAGTGTGCGGGCCAGTGCCCTAACCACACTGGCCAGGGCTAATTTTTTTTTAAGGGACATAATTTTATTTTTATACAAATTCTTGTGTCTGAAGACTGACTTTCACTAGATCTCAGGAAGGGAGCTGCTCTGAAAGTATGAAAATCTGACCTAAAGAGACAAGATTTGTATTGTTTAATTAACATCATATCCACTAGATGCCAGTAGTACCCCTCAAATGTGACAATAAAAAATGTCTCTAGACTTTCTAAATGTCCACCGGGGGGCAGAATTGCACCTGGTTGAGAACCACTGACCTAATGGAAGGCAAAAGAAGGCCTTATTATCAAGATCCCTATGTGCTCTTAGACATTTTACTAAATTATCAGTAACAACCTTTCTGATAACGGGAGCTGTGTTAGAATATCAGGGAAGAAGGATGTATAGCTTGTAGAAACATATTCAGTATTGTATTGTGTACTTGAATGACAAAAAAACTATTGCTTTTGCAATTTATTTTTAATTTATTTATTTTATCCTCACCCGAGGTTTTTCCATTTTTTTTTGTTCAGATAGAGTGGGAGGGAGAAAGAGAGAAACATCGACGTGAAAGGGACACATCGAGTGGTTGTCACCCGCACAACCCAACCAGGGCCAGGGACAAACTGCAACTGAGGTACATGCCCTTAGTGGGAACCGAACCCGGGTCTTTCTGGACTGCAGGCCGACGTTCTCACCGCTAAGCCAAACCAGCCAGGGCTGCAATTTATTTTTAATTTAATTTTTTTATTGTTGAAAGTATTAAGATGTCCCCCTTTTTCCCCCCATTGACCCCCTTCTTCCTGCCCTCCCCCCCCCGCCTTCCCCAGCCTAATGTCTGTGTCAGTTGGTTGTGCATATATTCATATAAGTTCTTAGGTTTCTCTTCTACCCCCTCTTACCCCCACTCCCGCCTCGCTCTGAGGTTTGTCAGTCTGTTCCCATTTCCAAGATTCTGGGTCTCTTTTGCTCGACAGCTTAATTTGTTCATTATGTTCCACAAATAAGTGAGATCATGTGGTACTTGTCTTTCTCTGACTGGCTTATTTCACTTAGCATAATATTCTCCAGGTCCCTCCGTGTCGTCTCAAATGGTAAGAGATCTCTCTTTCTTACAGCTGCATAGTACTCCATTGTGTATTTGTACCACAGCTTTTTTATCCACTCATCTACTGATGGGCACTTGGGCTGTTTCCAGATCTTAGTGATTGTAAATAGTGCTGCTATGAACACAAGGTGTATATATTCTTCCTGATTGGTGTTTCAGGCTTCTTCGGATATATTCCAAGAAGTGGAATTCCTGGGTCAAATGGCAGTTCCATTTTTAATTTAATGAGGAGACACCATATTGTTGAAAAACAGTTATCAAAAATGGTGATAGTTGGTCCTCCTTTAAGCCTCACCGGCACTCTGTCCCCTTCACGATTCTCCTAAGGGTGCACCAATATGATGTCTTCTGCCTGAGGATTCCTACATGTGTCCTACTTCCCAACACTTCAAAATTCAAAATTTTTCACTGGATTTTTTTCTAGAATTTCCTCTGCTCTCTGTTCTGGTCCTCTACTGAGTTTTAATGGATTTTGACTAGGTATTGTTGGATTATTTATTGTAGTGTGCTTAAATGAAAATTATTCCTGCTTGCTTGCTTAGAATTATCTTTGTTAATTTAATGGGGGAAATCTATCTCTGGAATCAAACAGAGATGTGAAAAATATTGTAATATGTTGTCACTTTATTCTTTTTCCAGGAATCATTGGTAGTTGATCACTTTCCAGGTCTCAGCCACTCAGTTGTGATAATCAGGGGACACGGTGTTGTGGCTTCGGAACTGCCAGCTCAGAATAGGAAAATACTTGGTAAGGGAGGCAGCATGCAAAAGGTTAAAGGCACTAACCCTGAAGTCATACTTGGGTTCACATCCTGGGGTGTAATGAAACCTTTCTGACCTTTAGTTTCAACATCTGTGAAATGAGATTAATCACACCTACCTTATGGGATTGCTGTGATGATTTACTGAGCTAATGTTCCTAGAGTGCTTAGCACAGTGTCTGGCACCTGGGATGGCGTAACTGGAAATGGTAATGTAGGAATGCAATTGGACATGAATCTTTAGTTTCTAATGAATTGAATTTGTTCTACTTCCTGAAGTGTTCATACACTTAAAAATTTTAGAGCTAGAGGAGATTTTAAAAACCTTCTAGTTCAATTCTCTTACTTTTTGGATAAGGAAATAGACCAAGTAACTTAGCAGAATCATGGCAATGTAGTGTAATAAATGCCACAACAGGGCAAGTTCAAGATCTGTAAGTATATATTTTTAAAACATCTTTCTTTATATGTAATGTATATGCCATGAAGTTCACCCACTTAAAATGCACACTTCATTGGTTTTTAGTTTATTCACAAAGTTGTGCGGCCATCACCACAATTTAAGTTTAGACCATTCTCGTCACCCTAGAAAGACCCCTGTATCTATTCACAGTCATTTCCCATTCCTCCCCACTCCCTCTTCTAGATCACTAACTAACCTGCTTTGTGTCTGTATCGATTGGCTTATTTTTCACTTTTCATATAAATGCAGTCATATAATATGTGGTCTTTTATGAGAGTCTTCTTTCACTTAACATAATGTTTTCAAATTTTATCTGTGTTGTAGCATGTGCCAGTACTTCATTTCTTTTTATTATCCAACAATATTTCGTTGTGTGGATATGCCACACTTTACCCACCCATTCCACAGTTCATAGACATTTGGATTGCTTCCATTTTTGAGCTGCTTGAACATTTGTGTGCAAGTTTTTGTGTGAATATATTTTAAATTTTCTTGGGGTCATACTTAAAAGTGGAAGTGCTGAGTCATTTGGTAACTCTGTTTAAGTTTTTGAGGAACTGCCAAACTATTTTCCATACAGCTGGACCATTTTACATTCCCAGCTGTGTATGAGGGTTCCAATTGCTCAGCATCTTTGCCAACACTTGTTATTATCTGACTTATTAAATATAGCCATCCCAGTAGGTGTGGAGTGGTATCTTATTGTGGTTTTGATTTGTATTTCCCTGATGGCTAATGATGCTGAATGTCTTTCATGAGTTTATTGGCCATTTGTATGTATATCTTCTTCGGAGAAATGTTTATTCAAATCTTTTGTTCATTTTCTAATTGGGTTGTCTTTTTCTTATTCTAAGAATTTTTTATGTACCTGAGCACAAATATTTTCCCCTGTTCTGTGGGTTGTTGTTTCACTTTCTTAATAGTATCATTTGTAGTACCAAGATGGTTAATTTTGACATATTCCAATTTATCTTTTCTTTTGCTGGTCATGTTTTTGATGCCATATCTAAGAAGATATTGCCTAATCCAGTGTCAAGATTTTCCTCTGTTTCCTTTTAAGAATTTAATAGTTTTAGCTGTTAAGTTTAGGCCTTAGATCGATTTTGAGTTAATTTTTGTGTAAGATAGAGGGAAGGGCCCAACTTTATTCTTTTACATGTGAATATCTAGTTGTCCCAGGACCATTGTTGAAAATATACATTTTTTTAAAAATATATGATTTTATTGATTTTAGAGAGAAAGGAAGGGAAAGGGAGAGAGAGAGAAACGTCACTGTAAGAAGGAAGCATCTATTGGTTGCCTCCCAAACATACCCCAACGGGATTGAGCCCACAACATGGGCACATGCCCTGACTGGGAATTGAACTGGAAACCTATCGGTGCACAGGAAGATGCTCTGCCAACTGAGCCACACTGGCCAGGGCAAAAATATGTATTTTTAAATAAAGTTTACCCCATACTTTTATCTAAATCTTGAAATGTGGAGGTCTATATGGCCTTAAAGAAAAAAACACTTTGAGCAAGAGCAGAGAGTTTGAGAAAAGGATGTATCCCCTTTAGTGAGTGGGGTTCCTCCTTCCCTCTCCCAGTTCCTCAGAGTCTAGATGACCAGCCATTAGAGGTCTGAGTCTGATCTGGCTTGGGGCCCTGGTACGAGCATTCATTAAAAGCTCTCTCTGTGTGGCTCAGTTGGTTGAGCATCTTTCCATACACTGATAGACTGCTGGTTCAATTCCTGGTCAGGGCTCATACCTGGGTTGTGGCCTCGATCCCTGGTTGGGGTGAGTACGGGAGGCATCCAGTATTTGCTTCTCTTACATTGATGTTTCTCTCTCTCTCCCTTTTCCTTCCTCTCTTTAACTGATCAATTAAAAAAATTTTTTTTAAAAAGCTCTCTCTCTAGGTGATCCTAATGTGCAGGCATGCTTCAGCACTAGTGAGCTAAAAGGCTTCTAGTCCCAAAGAGGACCAAACAGGAGTCATTAGGAGGCACTGCTGGAAGAGAGTGCTGAGGTGTGCTGGCTTGTGGCATTTCAGGCCTCCTTGTCCCTGCTGGACCTGCATGACTGTTGTCCTCTGCTCTACAGGTAGCAGCACCTTCTTACTGAAAAATAAAGTTTACCCGTCAATAGTTTTAGAGATTAGAAGCATTTTGGGGATGAAGTATGTGAAATAAGAAGACCTTCTGCATTCATTCATTCATTTATTTATAGAGAGAGTGGAAGGGAGGGAGGGTCGGGGAGAGAGAGAGAGAGAAACATATATATGAGAGAGACACATTGACTTTGCTGTTGGGGATTGAATCTGCAACCCAGGTACGTGCCCTGACCGGGAATCAAACCTGCAGCCCTTCAGTCCACAGGCCAGCGCTCTAACCACTGAGCAACATGGGCCAGGATGGACCTTCTGCATTAAAAAAAAAAATAGAAGGAGCAGAAATCCTCAACCACTGTTTTTCTTTTATAAATGAAGAAAAAGATTAATGTTCAGTAACAAAAACACTTTTTGAAAATAACTAATTTTATTTCACAAATGATACAGAGAGAATTTTGCTTGCCATTTTTAATCCTTGACTATATAGCCACCATGAAACCATTTGTCTTAAAAATAATCATGAGGATAAATTGGATCTTGAAATTAGTTATAGATTGTAGGTCTTTTAAGTGTGTAAAATACAAATGAAATGCCCTTTATTGTCTAAAATTGTATTTGTGGAAATCGGGAGACCTGCAGCCTGCAAGGTCTGAAGAGTTCCCCATGCCGTGATCTTTGTGTTGCCTGAAATTCTTGCTCTGCCAGGAACAAAGCGAATCAGCATGTTCCTCACAGTAAATCTTGACTTCAGTGATCGGTTCCTCATCTTGTGTTGCTAAAAAGTCTGATAAGGAGAAAATTCTGAGATGTTCTAAATTAAATTACAGCGGCTGGGCAGCCAGAGACTGAAAGAAAAAATTGGTAGTCTGCTATTGCCTGAGGGCCAGCTAACAAAAGACTACTCACATTCCTTCCATTGCCTGTTGGAATTTGGGTTTAATTTCCAGGTGGCTGCTTGCACAGATTATTTTTGCCAGGCAACCATGACGGTCCAGGAGCCTCTTCTTGTTTTCGGGCTGCTGCTACAGCCACTCTACATGTGTCTTCATGTGTAATTGGCCACTGTCCCAGAGCTGGCCCCCTACACCCCTTTGCCCACTGTTAATGTAAATTTCTTTCAGACCACCTCTTCTTCCTTTCCCCTGCTTGATGTGTAGAAACACTCGCAAAACTCTGGGAGGGTGGACATGTGTCTTTCCTACCTAGCCTTGCTGCTGGGGGTTTAAACTCCATGCCCAAGACCGGCCTTTTTGGAGGGCATTTTTGTCTCAGTAAAACTTACTTGCAAAAAGACTTTCAGCCTTGAAAGGTTTTTTTTGTTTGTTTGTTTTGCAGGTCCATCTGGTACAAATGCAAAGAAATAACTGATGAACAACATTCTTCATATTCTATTTCTTGATTTTAGTAAATTACCAATAGCAGAGTTTTTGTGACAGGTTTCAGAAGTCACTTTGGATGGCACTAGTGTTTCAGAGTCCCATTAGGGATTTATGGTGCATAGACCAGTGCTCCTCAAAGTGTTTGGATCCACTGCTGGTCTGTAAACCGTTTGTTACTAACGGTGTACACTTAAACGCTTGTGTAGCAAGTTGACATTGTCTCATATAGTCATTGTGTTTTACAATAGTATTGTCCTGCCCTGGCCAGTTTGGCTTAGTGGTTGGAGTATCTGTAGGGTTTCAGGTTTGATTCTGGTCAAGGGCACATACCTGGGTTGTGGGTTTGATCTCAGGCCCTGGTTGGGGTCATGTGGGAGGCAACCAATTGATGTGTCTCTCTCATGTTGGTTTCTCTCTCCCTCCCTCCCACTCGCTGTAAAAATCAATGGAAAAATATATTTGGGTGAGGATTAACAACCACAAAGGAAGTATTGGCATGTTGGCCTGCAGTGGATTGGGAAAAGCACAAAATTATTCTTCCCCATGGATGGTCAAGAAGTACTGTTCTAAAGCAATTAGCTTTGAGGAGGAAGAACTTTAAAGAAACCATCTTTTTTTTCTTACATTTATTTTCTCTCTCTCAGGGATTTTGCATTGGAAGACATGGATCTTGCTGCCAATGAGATCAGCATTTATGACAAACTTTCAGAGACTGTTGATTTGGTGAGAAAGACAGGCCATCAATGTGGCATGTCAGAGAAGGCAATTGAAAAGTTTGTCAGACAGCTGCTGGAAAAGAATGAACCTCAGAGGGGCCCACCCCAGTATCCTCTCCTTATAGCTGTGTATAAGGTAAAAATGTGTTCTGACTTGGAAAAACTTAGAGCACAAATCCTTCAGCTTTCTCTCCAAATACCCCTATGACTGATTCCACCATTGAACCTTGGTTTTTCTATGAATAAGTTGGCTTTCCCTCTTGTTGCCATGTGTTACTAGGAAATTTGACTATTTTGTTAACTGTCCTAGATGAAAGCTGTGTATTTGTATTTCAACTGTATTTGTGTGTATATTTTTAATGGTGGACATACCTCCTGGTCCTATGATAGCAGTTTGGTGAGTCTTGCAGTCAAACTTGAAATGCTTTCAGAAGTGAATATAAATGGCTTGTTTATGAAAACAAGCACATACCCAGGTTGCGGGTTTGTTCTTAAAGCACATTGGAAATAGTAGACAAGGCCTGTTATTTTCTTGTCATAAAAGAATTTTGTTTGCTGAGATAATTACTAACCATTTTCCTGTCTTTCCTTGTAGATCCTCGCAACCCTGGGATTAATCTTGCTCACTGCCTACTTTGTGATTCAACCTTTCAGCCCATTACAGCCTGAACCAGTACTTTCTGGAGCTCACACCTGGCGCTCACTCATCCATCACATCCGGCTGATGTCCTTACCCATTACCAAGAAGTATATGCCAGAAAATAAGGGAGGTCCTCTGCATGGGGGTGATGAAGACAGATCATTTCCAGGTATATGCTGCATTTACTACTGATGAGATACAGCCTTCTTGACAATATATGATGGGAAAGGAAATAACATTTATTGATATGTAATGAGAGATACTTTTCCTATATTGTCTTATTTAATTCAATCCCCGCTATAACTCTGTGGGATAGGTTTTATTTTCCCCATTTTACAGATGGAGAAACTAAGGGTCAGAGAGATTAAGAAACTTGCCCAAAAAACACATCTCATGGAGCCCAATTCAAACTCTGATTCCAAAACACATGTTTTAGGGCTGTTTTCATTCATAGGAAGGATTTGAATGTATCTCTTCTACCTTTTTCTCTCCTGTGATCTGAATCCATAGTAGATATTTTAATAAGTAGCTATAGGTTTATTGAAAGTATCTGAGTTCAGCTTCTTTTTTTAAAAAAAATTTTTTTTCTTTATTGATTTTAGAGAAGGAGGGAGAGAGAGATGGAAAGAAACATCGATGAGCGAGAACATCGATTGGCTACCTCCTGCATGCCCCCCACTGGGGACTGGGCCCACAACCTGGGCATGTGTTCTGACTGGGAATTGAACTGGCAGCCTCTTGGTGCATAGGTCGATGCTCAACCACTGCGCCACACAGGCCAGGCTAGCTTGCTCTTAACCAATCCCCTTAACAGTCCTTAGCCGTGGGCTGGGTTTCTGTCTAGGAAGCTCTCGCTCTTTCAATTTGTCTTTTCTCTCTGTTTCACAGTGCACTTATTTAGTGCTCCTAAGTGTGTACTTTTGCCAGTACATTGAATTTAAAAAACATTTAAATTTGGTAAAGTGCCTCAGTGGCAGCATAGGAATTGCTAGTGTGACAGACATTTTGAGGAGTTTTCTTTGAGAGTAATGAAACGTGGTAAGACTTGAAATTTACTCTTTGAGAAAGACTAGAAGGACATTCTTTGGGGATATTACTGTCTTTGGTGGTGTTAATCATATTTGCCCATATGAAGGGATGTGTAAATTAATATCACAAATGGATTATATAATTTTTGTGTAACCATGTTCTGAAAACTTTAGAACCCAGCATAATTGTTTAGGAAATATGTTTTCTCTTTTTTTATTATTATTATTTTTTTCTTTTCTTTTTTATCCTCACCTGAGGATATTTTTGCATTTATCTTCAGATAGAGCAGGAGGGAAAGGGGGGGGAGAGAGAGACACACACACATCCACTGGCTGCCACCCACACTACCCCAAACGGGGCCGGGGACAAACTGCAACCGAAGTACATGTCTTTAGTGGAAACTGAACCTGGGACTCTCTGGTCCGTGGGCTGATGCTCTAATCGCTGAGCCAAACTGGCCAGGGCTATTTTATTTATTTTTTTATTTATCTTTATTATTAAATGTATTACAGATATCCCTCCTTTCCCCCCCCCCCCTTGATCCCTTCCTCCCCACTCCCACCCCACTCCTACCTTCCCCACAATATTGTCTGTGTCTACTGGTTATGTATGTGTGCTTATAAATTTTTTGGTTTATCTCTCGCACCCCCCCTTCCCTTTGAGGTTTGTCAGTCTAACAACCAATTTGTACTTCTTAATCCCTTCATCTTTTTCACCCAACCCCCTCTCCCATCTGGCAGCCAATAAAAAGTTCTGTGTATCTATGAGTCTGTTTCTGTTCTGCTTGCTCATTTTCTTCCTAGATTCATTTGTTGATAGATATGTATTTATTGTTCATATTTTTTTTTATCTTCTTCTTCAAGAAGACCCATCAACATTTCATATAATACTGGTTTGCTGGTGATGAACTCCTTTAACTTTTTCTTGTCTGGGAAACTCTTGATATGTTCATCGATTCTAAATGATAGCTTTGCAGGATAGAGTAATCTTGGTTGTAGGTCCTTGCTTTTCATCACTTTCCTGCACTCCCTTCTGGCCTGCAAAGTTTCTTTTGAGAAATTGGCTGACAGCCTTATGGGGGCTCTGTTGTAAGCAACTAACTGCTTTCTCTTGATGCTTTTAAGATTCTCTTTTTGTCTTTAACCTTTTGCATTTTGATGTTGATGTGTCTTGGTGTGGACCTCTTTGGATTCATCTTGTTTGGGACTCTGTGTTTCCTGGACTTGTATGTCTGCTTCCTTCACCAAGTTAGGGACGTTTTCTGTCATTATTTTTTCAAATAGGTTTTCAATTTCTTGCTCTTTCTCTTCTCCTTTTGGCACTCCCATGATACGCTTGAAGTTGTCCCAGAGGCTCCTTAAACTATCCTAATTTTTTTGGATTTTTTTTTTCTTTTTGCTGTTCTGATTGGGTGTTTTTTGCTTCCTTATATTTTAAATCGATGGTCTGCTTCTTGGCTTCACCTACTCTACTATTGCTTCCCTGTAAATTATTCTTTATTTCAGTTAGTGTATCCATTTCTGACTGGTCCTTTATTATGTTCTTGAGGTCCTCACTAAGTTCCTTGACGTTCTCATGAGGTTCCTTCACATTCTCACTAAGTTCATTGAGTGCCCTTATAAGCAGTGTTTTGAACTCTGCATCTGTTAGATTGCTTATCTCCATTTCGTTTAGTTCTTTTCCTGGAGGGTTTTTTTTTTAATTTGGGACATTTTTTAAAATTTGGTTTCTTTGTCTTTTCATTTTGGCTGCCTCCCTATGCTTGTTTCTATGCATTAGGTAGAGTTGCTGTGTCTCCTAGGCTTCATAGGGTGGCCTATTGTAGTAGGTGTCCTGTAGGGTCCAGTGATACAGCCCCCCTGGTAACCCAGCTGGGCCCTTAAGGTGCACCCTTCATATGGAATTTACACCCTTCTGTTGTAATTGAATCTTGATTGCTGTTGGCAATCAAGAGGGACTTATTCAGGCTGATCAGCTGTAAGGACTGGCTGTGCCCACTATCCAACGACCTCTGATTACTTTGGATGATCAGCTGTGCAGGGGCCCACCACACAGAGCAAGACTTAATTCAGCAGGGCTCTGGTACCCACTGATTCCACACATTGATCGTGTGTCACTTGTGGAGGTGGTTGGATGGTGGTGCTTTGATGTGGTCTGAAGCTGTCCACTGGGTGTGCTGGCTCTGGGACAAGGTCAGCCACTGCCTGTGTTCTACCCAGGGCCACCAGGCATAAGCTACAAAGCGATCCACTGATGGCTGCTTCTTGTGCTGGGCTTGGAGGTGCCCAGCAAAAGCCACGTTGTGAACCAAGGCTGGTCCTTCTAGTGCCAGGCCTGGGGCCACTTAGTGAGAGGTATGGGGCTTGTTGTGGCCAGATGCTGCTTGTTTGATAGAATTTAGGAAAATCTCAAATATGTTTTCTCTTCAGAAAAAGTTTACTAGTTGAAGCTAAGCTTTATAATCATAATGCCAGTCTTTTTTTCCCCCCAATCCTCAGCCAAGGATATATTTTTTAAATTGACTTAGAGAGGAAGGGAGCGAGAGAAACATCGTTGCCTCCCACACGCACCCTGACCAGGGATCAAACCCACAACCTGGGTATGTGCCTTGACTGGGAATCGAACTCGTGACCCTTTGATACATGGGACGATGATCCAAACAACTGGGCCACACGGGCCAGAGCAATAATCAACACCAATCTTTAAGCAAAGACCTAATCAGTCATAAAAATCATCACTTGGCTTGAGTCTCCTTTGCAAGCTTTTGTTGTACACTTGAGGAAATCACAGAAAGATTTCCAAAATTATATCAAAATCAGAGGAAGGGAACATCATAAATCAAAAACTCAGCCTCATGAGTATTTTTTTTAATTAGCTCATATGTTTAGAACTTTTAATTCCAAATATAACTTCCTGTATTTATTAGGAAGGTTGTTTTTGAAAAGTAATCAACAAAGCAAAAAAAAAAAAAAAAAGTTTCTAACTCCTATCAGAAAGTTCCAGAGCATGTGGGAAGGAGGCAGAGAGTCACGTCAGTCAGGCCGCTGTTCTTCAGACGCCCAGGCTCCTGGAAGGCATCTCCTGCTCTTTGGAACATGAGGTGAAGTCGGTGGTTTTTAGGACCAGGGTGATTAATGGCAGTTTCTTTCTTTCTTTCTATCCTATAAAGTAAATCTCCATAGACGATTGCGTTAAGAAATAGTAGTCAGTGGGCAGTGATTGCTCATTTTCTAAATTAGAATTAAAAAATTCAAAAAATGTTAGCATCTTGTCAGCAAGCCTGATTTTTTTGGTCCACTCCAAATAAATATTTTGCCTTGCAGATGGAAATAAAATGAGTCCTTGGAGCTCAGTTATAAAAAGAGAGCATTGAAAGGGTGTGGTTTTAGCTCTTAAATGTTGTTGATTCTATTCAAGGGCTGCTTTTAATTGTGATGTGGATAGTGATGCACTGTATTTTCCTGTGTGATAATTCCGGGAAGCTGTAGACATGTAAAGCTAACGGCATTTGCATAGCATTTGGAAGGAAACTTACGAATGCAGCACGATATAAGGGATAAATATAAATATACTGGAGAGCCCTGGCTGGTTTGGCTCAGTGGTTAGAGTGTGGACCCAAGGACCAAAGAGTTGCCGATTCGATTCTGGTCAAGGGCACGTACCTCAGTTGCAGTTTGGTCCCGACCCTGATCAAGGTCACGTAGGAGGCAACCAATCAATGTGTCTCTCTCACATCAATGTCCCCCCCGCCCCCTTCCTCCCGCCCAACTCTTTCTGAAAATAGATGGAAAAAATATCCTTGGGTGAGGATTTTTTTTTTTTTTTTTTAATCCTCACCCGAGGACATTTTTCCATTTTGTTCAGGTAGAGTGGGAGGGAGAGAGAGGAACAGAGAGAGAGAGAGAGAAACATCGATGTGAAAGGAGCACATTGAGTGGCTGCCACCCACACAACTGACCAGGGCCGGGGACAAACTGCAACCGAGGTACGTGCCCTTAGCGGGAACCGAACCCGGGCCTCTCAGGACCGCAGGCCGACGCTCTAACCGCTGAGCCAAACCGGCCAGGGCGGGTGAGGATTTTTATAAAAAGAAAAAGAGCCCTGGCCAGTTTGGCTCAGAGGTGGGAGGGTCAGCCCAGG